GGAATTAAGGATCTATTTTAAATATAGCTGTTGCTAGGCAATGTGTCATTAGCAGAACTCCAGCAGCCTGGAACATTTAGGATTTTAGGACCTACATACTCATTTTTATATTATTACTTAGTTTCCAAAATACTAGCAATCTACAGAGAAGTTGGTAATTTTCTTAGACAATAGATGAGATTGTTCCTCAGTGCTCTCTGCTGGGACAGTCCCACACCTGATAGGAGTAGCACCAGAGCAGCAGCATCTTGCTCTGTCCATGCCCAGCTTTCCTTCCTTGCAGCAGCACCTCAGGTAGCCATGGTAGTAGGGAGACAGAGGGAATCTGCAAGCAGATTCTCAGAGCTATCCTAGATGCAGGTGGAGGTAGGTTAACTCCACACGCTGCCTTTCCAATCCTATTCTAAAATAACATATGATTGATTGAACAGAGCTCCCCAGGCTAACTCCTGTGGCAAAGCCTCCTTATTGTTGACAAGATGATTAGAAGAGCACCAGGAAATTTCTTTGAATTCTAAATTGCTTTTTCTCTCCTACAAGAGGAAATTATCCAGATCAGTGCTGTGGGTCACATCTGATCCTAGGACTTGTACCATTCCAGACTGCTCTGAACTCTTCCTTGTGTGCCTGTTGGACCTGACCACCAACATCACAGTTCTGAATGTGGGAACTGTATCGTGGAGATCCCCAAAACAGCTGCAGGGAAATTTCACTGTCCTGCTCTTTACCAAGAACTCATCCATGACACATCTAAGTGCTAATCTGCAGAGCAAAAGCTGCAGCAGTGTCCATTGTTGCCTGTGAACATCTTGGGACTGCTGTTCTCTGTGATGTGCAGTGATAAAGCCTTGACAATGCTGGTGGCAATAGGAGTGCTACTATTAAACTGGAGTTCTGCATATTGGCTTAATGGGGCCAGAAGTGACTCCAAAACCCTAAATCCTTTTGACCCTTTTCATATATGATGTCCCAGAGAGAGATATACCAAACACTTGCCATTCTTGCTTTAAACTCCATTTCAGGTGTACGATACAACCCAGCTCATGCAGGTTTGTGTCTCCTCAGAGATTATCCAGGTTTAATCAGGATTATCCAGCCACATAAATGCAGTGGCCCATATCTACAGAATCCTGATTTCATGGCATCCTAATAATTGCTCTTGTTCAATGTCTATTTCACACAAATATATTTTAAGTTTTTCATTTGTTCATAAATATACCACAACATTTCTAGAATTTATGAAGGCTAAAAATACTTTTACAAATATCTTTAGGGAGACTTGATTCCCTGAAGATGCTGTGAGTGGAGGCTTTTTCTGTATCAGTCCTTGACTTTGATTAACCACTTAAAAAAAAAGGAATAGATTAATTATTAAAATTAGTCCTGTAGTGCACCTGAGCAATGATGAGTGAAACATGATTCCCACTGAATTACAGAGGAGGTAGGGCAGAGGATGCTCAGCACTTCAGAGAATTGCCCTGGTAAGGAGAAAGAGTAAAATATAAAGGACTGAGTGTACTGTTTGCCCAATTGCAGTCTGGGGTGGTTTGTTAAATAAATAAAATACAAAAAAATTATTCAGTTCAGGGCTTGGAATCAATGCAATTCCCCTCTAGTCTATTAGACTTGCCTAGAAGCCCCTCTCAGGACACACAGCAGTTTCTCTGACTGCTCAGCCATGTAATAGCACTGCAAACAAAGGCACCAGAACTCGCCGTGTCACACTGTAACATCATTATTCACTCGATAAAACCGTGGCCATGCCACAACACCTCACGCTCGGGGTTTGCCCCAAGCTGCAGACAAAGTGTGCTCATTATTCAGGTGTGCTGTCCCCAGGCTGGCCCTCCCCAGCCTGTGCAGAGCCTGTCCTGAGCTCGGTGTCACAGCTGCCGGCACATCCTGCCCGGCCCCAGCTCGTCCCTCTCCGGGGACAGCAAGCCTTGTGCTTGCCACACCACCTTAAGGCTGGCTGAATCATCATATCATTGCAGGTTTGCTCAACAACATCTTAAGACTGTGGTTTAATTACAAAAATGAAAACGCATGATTACAACCAAAGTAAGTATGAAACAATATTTGGCTGTAAGGAGCAATTGAAACTTTTTAGATGTTTCAGTGTCTCTCATCCAGAAGCCCCTCTGTCCCAGGCAGAAAATTCGGGGATCCAGGTTTTCTTGTGTACACCTATATTTTAGACTACTTTTACAGCCTATTACTTCAATTTCTGCTTGTTTGAAACTCAGTTTTGGATACAAATTCAATGTCTTAAGGGCTTGTATCTTTGGCCAGGCATTTTAAGTGATTTGACTTCTCATTCCTTTTGTTGGAGTACATATAGCTCTTTGGGGATATCAGTTCTATTTCCCCTTTAGTCCTAATGCATCCAACTTATTAGTGTTCCTACTCAGTCCTGCCATCCAATATGAACTTTTTACTTTACATTTCCCAGAAATAGTTGAGGCCATTGGAATGTTCATAGCAAAGAACATGCAGAGTATCAGGTTGAAGCAGGATGCATTAAGTTTAGGATACCTTTTGGGATATCTTTTGGATTACCAGTTTTCTCCAAAGGCCACACTTGACATGTTATTTACATTAGTTAGTTTTTTTTCTCCTGGATTTACCCATGAGTTCATGCTGTTGTTTTCCCTCAAGTTTTGTTTCATTTCTGTGTCACAGGATAGTTGCTACAACTTTGTTGTTGTCCATTTCATCACCCCTCAAAGGACAAAATGCAGTTTTTAGGCTTCTAATTTAGGTTGAAGCATTGTGTAAAGCCAGTCTCTGCGCTTTCACTTTGCTATGGAATTTTTTTTATTAATGGAGTGCTTAAAAATGGGGCAAAGACCGACTTCAGACTTTAATAAATCTTGGAAATGACCGGGTGTTTCAGAAGTTAAGTTCACCCTCATTACCCTGTAACACTACCTCCTGTGAGGCTACCTGAGACATATTGTACAATAATTGTGTTCTGGCAGCTGACTCCAAGAAGCTGGTGTTAACCTCTCCTGTTCCCCTGATACATACAGATTATTCCCATTAGAATGGGTTGGTGAATGAAAAGATCATAGTTAATGGGTATTACTTTAATGCAGAGGGCCAAATCCTATTATCCTGTGAAACGGACAGTGCAAATAGTATTTGTGTAAAGGAGCCCCACTGGGACAAGGAGAAATGGAGCCTGCTGCCCTCCCCATCCTTGCTCAGCAAAACCTTGCCAGTTCTGCAGCTGTTTCTGTGAGTAAGGGGGGTTGGCCCATAGAGCTTCTCACAGAACCTATTTCTGGCAGTTTCTAAAGAAGTAGCAGTGTGTTCTCCATGCTTCTGCTATTTTGATCACATTTCCCGCTCCCTTTTTCAAATTAATAAATACATTAGGGGGGTTATGCAGATTACAGTGTATGCATGAAGTTATTTGATATATTATTCACCAACAAATACAAGATAAAAAGTAAGTCTGCATATAATTATCCACAACTGCTGACTGATTCATAATTAACTTTGAAAAACTGCTGGTTTAGGAGATACCATAGATTACAATTTTAAATATAAGGAGCTTCAGAATAGCTCTCATGATCAGCACTAGTACAAGGCATTCAATGCAGGATTAATTCCCTAAACTGCTCATCAGCTCTATCTCCTGTCTTATCAAATTGTAAATATATTATGCTGCATTAAACTATGAGCATGCAGCTAATTAAAGCAGAGCCTGCTTTAATATCAGATACTCCCCCCTTGACACAACAAAAATGTTCTAAGGACATATCTTACAAGTGTTAACAAATGAAAGTGATTCCTTTTCAAGTCATGCTGTGCTCCAACAGCTCTGTGTTTTTATTTCAGAGCCTTTTGTTTGTTTGTTTGTTTGTTGGGTTGGGTTTTGGGTTTGGTTTGGCTTTTTTTAAAGAAAAAGAAGCAAGGGGAAAACCATAGAGTCTTTCTGGAGAAACAGCTTGAGAAAGGCATTAATTCTATTCATTCTACAGCTGGAAGCCCACAGGAACTGACAAAGAGATTGTAACCAAGGATTTACAAATAGTACCTGAATGACCCACAGCTAAAATTGGTTCATTTACTAACATTTTAAATATATTCTGATGTTAAATGCTGCAAAGCAAGAAGGCAACCATCCACATTTTTAAAGGATTGCAGTATAAATTTAACTGAAAGATCAGTGAAGCCCAGCCAAGCCAAGAGGATCAGAACCACAACTCAGCATCATTTGAAAAATTGTTTATTTTAGTTGCTTTTCTTTGTTTCAAACTCAAATCAAGCAATGGCATTGTACAAAAATCAAGGAAAAAATACCAAAACTATTCATCTATGAAAAAAACATAAAAGATATGCAGCAAGAAGCCTTTCAACAAAAGCTAGATTTTTTTTAAATTATTTGTGTAAGCCTCTAAGATTTTTGTGTCACTTGGAAGTTTTCAAACCCTAAAGACCTTAAAATGTATGATGCTATTAATGTTATTCAGCAACAAAAGACACACATTAAAAAAAAACCCATAGGGCAGACAGGTTTTTGTGAGTTTCTCAATTTCTCTTTCCTTATTTTAATTCCTTTTTTTAAATTCCTTTCCTTTCCTTTCCTTTCCTTTCCTTTCCTTTCCTTTCCTTTCCTTTCCTTTCCTTTCCTTTCCTTTCCTTTCCTTTCCTTTCCTTTNTCCTTTCTCTCTACTTAGGAAAAATAATCTCAGCAGGAAATCGAAGAGATTTACCAATTAAATCAATAAACATTTGCAGACTATTGGTAATGATACTGTTGAGATAAGGTAGGGTTACGTCCCTGCTTGATCAATGTTTATTACAGGGCTCATTTTTTTTAATAGAAATGAATCAGAAGAGAGTGTGTTTTTTCCCCTCCTGGCATGGGATTCTGTAGATTTCAGATACACAGAAATTTTATCTGGCTTGTTCTATTTAAATGTTTAACAGTTATTGGCATTCAACAGTATCCTGGTTTGAACTAAATTTTTTTTCTTCATTCCCCCCAGGTTAATTTGTTGGCTTTTGGAGTGATTATTTATAAAGTATTTCGACACACTGCAATGTTAAAGCCAGAAGTCAGTTGTTATGAAAATATAAGGTAAGTTTGCCATTCAGTACAAATTCTACCTTCTGCAGGTTTAAATACAGACAGAGATGATAATGAGTATTCCAAGGTAACAGTTTAATATCCTGAGACTAGTAGAAATAGAAAGATTTTTTTGTCTTATTACCCTTATATAAATTTGGACATAAATTTTGCAATCATTATTCCCACTGAGCAATACCTTGTATGATAGGGTGTGTGTGAAAGATGCACAAAGAAAACGAGCAGCCCATCTCAACCAGAGGGTAAAGGCTGAAGGCAAAGTTAAAGAAGTAATTGTCCTTTTATCTTAAGTATTTTCCACAGCCTCTATGGAATACAAACCAGAATTCAAAACTATGCCTGAAATGGGACCAAAATGTTTGCCTTGAAGTAACAAGTGATAAGAGATGGAAGTCATTCCTGTTACTTGGGAAAAGTCTGCAGTAGGACATTATGCTTCTGTGGCACTGGGGGGATGGAGCAGATTCTTTACTTTGCATGCTGCTGATTTTTCCATCAACTCACTCTCTTTAAAACTGATTTATAGGGACCTTGAAAACCGTTTGTGCAGGAAAAGCTGAAGTGTACTACAGGGAACATTGAAAACAACGTACTGTTTGTGTTGCTTAGGAACACTCCTGCAGTTTCAATGCATTGCACTAGATTTATAGTTAGGATTTAGCAATTGTTTGATTGATTACTTTCTCTTATTCCTCACCTTTCATAGCTTCATGTGGTGACCTGTTTCTAATGAAGTCGAAAATTATTCATTTTCAGGGGAACAGTGCTAAAAATGTCTGCTGTTCTAAGGAAGTCCTTCAATAACTGAGCTGAGAATGAATAAGAAAGTAATCAGTGGCTTCATTTCCAAGACAACATGCTGTAATTTACTCAAGTCTGTGAACAGTGCTCTACAGCATCTTGGAAAAAAAATCATAGCCAATCAGTTCCTACAATTTTAAGGCATCAATATGCTGACCCAGGAACTATTTGAGAGTACTTGTGTTCTAAAAACAATTTCTTTTTTTTTTTTTTAAGAGACAATTTAAAAAAGAGTCTGGTTTTACAACTGGCACCGTCCTCTGCAATGAACCTGAGAGGCAGCCTGGGAATCCTTTGATGTCATGCACATGCACTGACCTAAGAGCATACTGAACATTTTTCTGGGTTGTTTTTTTGAGGAAGATAAGGGGGAGGAGGAAAAGTGGGGGAATGCTTCATAACAGACATATGTTTTTCCTTGGGGAATTACACTAACAGTAGATTTAAATCAAATCATATGGTGCTGCAGTACACCAGAGAAAACATATCTGAAGATTAAAGAAGCCAGTGTTTTAAGGCCCTCCAGTTTTACTCCCTTGCTCTTCCAAAGTGATTATATGACTTTGTTCATGCTACAGTGCCACAGCACACCCTGAAGAGCAGCCCCTGCACCTGCACTTGTCAGGCCTTTGCAGCTGTGAAAAAATTTCCAAGGCAGCATTCACCACCCAAAGTGGAGGAAAAGGAGAGTAGCATGTGCCTGCATGTTGTTCACAATGTTTTCTTCCTGTCTAGATCCTGTGCTCGAGGTGCCCTTGCTCTCCTGTTCCTCCTTGGGGCTACCTGGATTTTCGGGGTTCTCCACGTGGTCCAGGGATCTGTGGTTACTGCTTATCTTTTTACAATCTTCAATGCATTCCAGGGGATGTTCATCTTCATATTTCTTTGTGTATTGTCTAGGAAGGTAAGTACCCCATTCCTTGTGAGAAGTCACTCAGTCTCATGTCCCCGCACTGTCCAGGTGCCCAGCCCTGAGAGCTTCTGCTTTCAGTGGAGACAAAACCTCTGTCCAGTTCTTACGTTCTCACATATTTTCTCCAGTTTTAAAAATGAAGTATGAAACATGAGAAAATGGGGCTTTTTAACTGTAGAACTGGTAATGTGTCATTAACCTGATCAAATTAGACATTGTGTGCAATAAAACTTCCTTCCAGTCTTTTCAATTAGCAGCAAGATTTACCCCCACTACCCTGGGATGATACTTTCTTCAGAGCTTTGTCCTAAAGTAAAAGTCAGTCCCACCTTAAAGTATGTAGTCACAGGAGCAGTACAAAATGGGTTCAAAGACATATTGACCTATTAATAAATCTATTTCGTCATTGAATTCAATATTTTTATTTCAGATTCAGGAGGAGTATTACAGATTGTTCAAAAATGTTCCTTGCTGTTTCGGCTGCTTGAGATAAAGGGAAGGAAAACACCCAAAAACATCTCAGGTGAAGAAAGAAGCAACCTACATGGTGTTGTTATGGATATTACTGCAAAATATGGTATTGTGAAAGTACGAAATGACCCAGTGAGCATGCATATCTCTTAGCTGAATTAATGGTTTTGTACATACATGTGCATTCATGCAGAACATCTGTATTATTCTGTATACTAACAGTATACAAAACAAACGGGATCATTGCAAAACAAATATTAATAAAGACAAGATAAAGAAACAAATTTTAAAGAACCTCAAGACTTCATGACTGAGGTTTCGTTTCTGATATTAAAAATATCTGCAGTTCTTGAAAGCAAGATACCAAAAACCAACTGGCATAGCAGATTTTTTATGAAGTGCTTTGCTAGTGGAAACATGTTCACCATCCTTTTGTAGTAATGAACTTCATACACTAAGTTGTATGTGACCATCTGCAGGGAATGGGTTCCATTAAAGAGTCAATAGATAAAGATCTGCTTCAGCTTAGACTTTTGAAAACATTTCTTTTAATTTAAAGTAGATTAAAAAAGGAATTTGTTTGATATTATTCTCTTATCACTCTGAAATATATATTTGTATATTAATCAATCCTTTATTTTTATAACTTCTAAAGAACTGTTTATATCTAAAGAGCTGAGGTCAGATCTGATACAAGAATGGTGGGATAGTCATTTTATAACTGAAAGATTATTTTGTGAATACTTTGAAAAAGATCTGGTTCTTATTTTATTTAATTGCCAAAAAGACTGAGATCTGCTTAACTGGCACTATGATTTTGGAGGCTGTGGGAAGAAGATGCTTTCAATGTTGTTCATTTCATAGAGATACTTGGAATCCAGACTTTGTAGGATCAAATTAAAGTGGTAAAAATCACCCATGCAGAAGAACACAGATTTAAATTCAAGGTAATGTGGCTCTGTCCTGTGTACAATTCCAATTACAGCAGTTTTCTCATAGCATCTTTGAGTCAAGCAGTTGTCTTCCTCTGAGGGTCCTGGGTTTGAAACAATCCTGCACTTAACCTTAGGAATGACTCTAGAACTTCTTAAATCAAAGGGAGTACCCAGGTGCAAGTTTGGCAGATCAGAGCATAAACACAATGCATTGACAATTCCACCTATGGCATCTGACTTATTTGAAAAGTATGCTTTAATTTCACCCTTTTAGCACCCAAATTATGTGAAGTGCTGAGCAATTTCCTGTCCACATTGCCTTCTCAGGAAGTGTCCAGGATCTCAGATGAGGCCCAGTATTTTTGCCGTGAGGCACTGTAAATATGTAGTTGTTAATAAATCCCACTGTTGTGTTGTCTGTTAAAATAAAGCACTAGTCTGAATTTTATTTATATTAAAGGAAATCTTTTTTAGTAATGATCAACTTTGGTTCTTATCCTTTTTTCCTTATACACAAGGTTTTCATTGTATGCACTGCAATGATAGGCTTCATTAAGTATGTTCCATGCCTGCGTCAAGTTTTTTGAAAAAGGAGTAGTCTATTTTTCAAAAAATTACTAAAGAATTCTCCTGGTCCTTTGAATGTAAAATATGTGAATAAACTGGAGTGCTTTGCTTTCACATTTTGACATTTCCATTCATTTAAATAAATACACTGGTAAAAGTTCTCATTGTTACATATCATTTGCCCTCATTATTTGCTGTATTTCCTTTGCTGTTGTATATGTACTTCTAAAGTTGGGAAATGCAGATATATATTACTTAAAAGAGTATTTTTAGAAGGATATCTACCAGCCCATCATTTTTAATCTCCTGCAGAACTGTAACCTACAGTAAGCTGATCTGGACAAAGCATCTCTAGTAACTATATAATGACTTCAGCATGCTCAGGGAGAGTGAAAAAAGTTCCTTGGAAAGAAAATATATCATAAATGTTTAGCTTACAATAGTCTTTGTAATGAAAGAACATCTTTTATAGGAAAACTGCTCTCCTGTCTCCAGGTCAGATCTTCATTGAAAGTCTGTTTTCCTTAAATACAAGGATGAGTTTTCATCTTTTAATACAGCACATAAAGAGCAGAAATATTTTTTTAGATTCCCTGCCTCAGACCCTGAAGGATATTGCAATTGTCCTTCCTAGAGCTTGCAGATGTTCTGACAAGCAATTAAAGGGTTTGTTTGTCACAGCCCTTAGTTGCATGAACCCCAACCCAGCAGAGAGAAAAGGACTGGCATTGGACATAAACTGAAAAAAGAGAGGTTTCAACAAGATATGAGGAAAAAACCTTTTCACCATGAGGACAGTGGAGTGTTGGAAAGGATTGCCCAGAGAGTTTGTGTACTTGTGTTAAAATCTATGGAAGATTTTATGACTGCATAAAGTTTGCAGCAACCTGATCTCAACCTGACCCTGCTCTGAGCAGGAAGGTGGATGAGATAACCCTTTGAGATCCCTTCCAGCCTGGATTGTTCTTAGTCTATGGTATCAAATCAGAAAAATAATAATCAGGCATTAGTTACAATTTTGTTATGCAAACTGTTTTTCCAAAAGTAAATTAATGTAATCTATTTATCAGATCAACTAGCTGACTGGTTTGAAAACCAAGAATTTTGTTCAACGCTTTTTAAGATTACACACTTTTTAGAGGCATGTTACATATCCAGTGGGGCCAACAGGAAAAATCAAAAAGTAAAAAAAATCAGTGATTGACCAGAGAGATAAAAAGTAAAATGTTACGGTTTCACTCTGAAAATAAATGCTTGATGAAGAAATTTTTTCCATTAAACCAAAGAGAAATTTCTCTTCAGTGTTGCATTTCAAGGTGTATTTCAGAATACAGTAAATAAGGTAAAGACTCATCTATTCTGAAATTAATATCCCCTCAAAGAATTAGAATTGTATTTCACAGAAACTGCAATATGATCACCATAGCCATTGGCAGGTTCAGTCTGCTGGAGCTGTGCTAATAAACAGATCTTCTGTCCTCTTTACCTATTGGAATGAAGCAGGGAGTCATTTAAAACAAGATAAATGCAGTGCAAGTTTATTTTGGACATTTCTGCAGTCTCCAGTTGTCACAGACCTTCAGCTCAGACAGAACATGGTGATGCTCCAGCCCCAGGACTTTGGAGATTTGTGCACCTTGTGGACCAGACATATAAAGCAATGCTGCACATGATGACGTGAAACACAACAAATATTTTCAGGACTGATTCCTCCAGCTGCTACACCTCCAGCATCACTTGTCTCATCAATAATATCACTTTTTATATCTTTATCATAATAGTTCTCTAAAGGCCAGTTCATAATCACACTCTTGCCAGTTAATCCCAGGAGAAGCCCTATGTCCTTCTCTGAAATCTATATAGATGAGATTAAAAAGTCAAAAGCCATGAAGAAGGTTAAAGCTTTCTTTCCTCTGGGAAAAGAGGTGGAAGGAGGAGGGCCACTGGCCAACAACTTCCTCCAACCTGTGTTCCTCTTTCCCCTTGGTTCTCATACATTCAGTGCTGTGAGATTACAGAAGCCACCTCACCAGAGTCCTCCCCCATGCAATTTTTATATAAAATTAAGCTTTTAAGATGGAAAAAAACCAGACTTGAAAACAGCTGATCATCAGTGCACTGATAGTCCATTTAAACACAACCAAATTGTCAAGTGCAAATGTGCTGAAGCATTTTCACAAGTTGCCTGGCTCCCTGCCAGCTCAGCCCTCATGGCCATCGCTGGGGGCAGCCTGTCCATGGGGATGCAGTCACAGAAGGACAGGACTGCTGTTTTCAGACTCTGCATCTCCATGACAACCCTCCTGAACATCCAGACTTTGCCAGGAGTCAGGTCCATGGCCACACATGGAACCCGGAGGCCCTGGAACTGCTGCTTCAAAATAAGCTGCAAGATGTGACTAATGTGAAATACAATAATTCCATCAGCTTTAATGCTACACAGCAATATTGACAGCAGCAGTCCTACTGGGTCAGAAGAACAGAAGGTATGAAAAAAAATCCATACACACCACAAAGTAACAGTGAAACTGACATTTCAGAATGTACTCTTTTTTTTTTTTCCAAGTGGAACAAAAAATGCTTTAAAAGCACACTGAAATTATCATGAAACATAAATTATTACTGATTCTATTTATGATAACAATTATGTTTAGTAGAGGCCTTATTTTACATTTTCCCAATGCAGGGTTGCATTTTTCCCAGAATTCCTTTTCCAGAACTATCTCTTTAAATTTGGCAGAAGCTTTACTTCTACAGATGTTGTTTTACAGCTCCTTGGTTTTTTTCTTGCCTTGCTGGTAAGTACTCAAATTTTATTGTATTTACTCTTCTGGATTTCCAAGAAAAAAGTGTGTTTTCATCAAACACAGGGGAAGCTCCTCTGTTTCCCAAAGCATTGCTGAATATTCTAATTAAAACTTGCTCCAAGACTGACCATCAGTCTTCACTGCAGTGCAATAGGCACCTCCCTCCAATGTAAGCCTTTGTATTTATTGTAACTATTTATATAAATGCTGCAGTCAGCTCTGTATGCACATAAACCTAAAACCATTTAAATTAAATTTGTAAGACTTTTGTGAGACACTGCTGAATAATTTAGTCAAATCCAAGTTGATTATAAACTGTTCTTCTTTATAATAACTAAGTTTGAAGACTATGTTTTTAAGAGACAATCCAGTTTACTTTGTTCAATCAGTTATATTTTAATCTGGGCAGGGATGTTTTCCTCCTGTGTCTGGACCACCATTATTTGGTCTAATGGATTGAGTCAAAGACAACAATCTTCAAAATCCCATTCCTCCCTCACTTTGAATGTTTCTGCACTATGCATCACCTTGGCTTCTGCTGGGTTTCAGAAATAATTGTTGATGATACAGTAAATTTGTTTTCTCTCCCTTGTGTTTAAATCCCAATCTTACAAACACTCATGTATTTGCTCAGTTTTATGCACGGCTAAGTCTTTGGCGTTAATGAGGCTGCTCATGTGCATAAAGTTAAGCATATGTGCAAGTGTTGTATGATCAGGGTCTTAGGATGCCAATTTGCAGTAATAACAGATTTGCATAAACTCATGATCCCAAGCACTGGGCTTCCTGCTCATTATCAGTAGTGGAATTAATTTAGCTGTTTTTCATTCCATGATCTTTATGAGCCTTTTCTTTTTTTAAGAGAACTTCAAGTTGTTTTGATTACTACTCCTTAGCCATTTTTTATTTTGTCCATATCACTTAACATATGTGGGGTTTTTCCCTCCACTTAAAAATGCCCACCTTTGCCATGTTAGCATGAGCTCATTTATGCTCAAGATGAAACATCAGGTCACACTTCTTAAGCTGAAAATATGCTCCTTGCTGTGTAAGAGAGCTGCAGAAATGCCAATTGCACATACCCAGCTAGGACTCATCAAAATCCTGTGCACAAGTCACGGCTTCTGTCGTCAAGGGGTTAGGTCCTAAATGAAGTGAGTAGCAGCTGTAACCCATTTAGTGTAGATGCCAGCTAAGGGAGAGGCAGCTTGTACTCCTCTCTGGCAGGTGGGTCGCATTGAAGCAGAAAAAAGTAAAGTATATCCTCACTGAAATTACAGTCCTTGTCCTGCTGAAGGATAATCTCCCTTCTGATGCTCAGCTCTGCTTTGTCTTCATTATGATTGACACTTAATACCTATAATACAACTCCTAAAGACTTTGGGGTTTGATTCCTCATTCTCAGGAGCAGTGCTGCATTTACTCCCTCTCCAAGTGGATGGGGCAGGACCAGGTGTCCACCCTTCCCTGGCAGCTACTGATGAGGACACCCCTACCCAGAGACCCCCCCTCTGTGGTGCACCCAGCTCCCACAGCTGACCTGCAGTTGCCTTCCAGCCCCCAGCAGAGCTGAGAAGGATGGAGTGCAACATTTGGCTCTGGAGTGAGTCAGGGATGCCAGTGCTGCAATGGGGAAACAAAGGTAAAAGCAGTGATACTTGGTGAGTAGCAAAACAAAGGCATGAATGTGTCCTAACCCTAATATGTAAAGTTTTCAAAGAGGGGAGGAAAAAGATAAAAGAATAAATTCTGGTACAAAATAGATAGTTGAGAGCTATCATCTAGAGAACCTCATGGTTCCCTATCTGAATAACTGTATTTGCCAAAAGAAAAGGGTGCTGAGGAAGCTGAGTAGCACTCAGAGGAGGGTCAGGGTATAGGGGGCAACGCAAACAGATTATGGATTATTGGGAAAATGAGAGTGGCATCCAATGGTAATTTTGTAATGATGTCTTCCCTGAAGCTAAATAAAAGTGAAAAAAATCAACTGCTCCTTGAAGCAACTCCCAATTATATCCTATATGTTATCTTTTTAATGAATTATTTGTGTGCAAAATTTCTAGACTAAAAATATTATGCATTAGTGAATCAGACAGCATAATCTTGCATGAAGATCAGGAAAATGTTTACAGTAAGAGAGAAAAAGAACAGTAAAAGAACCACAGACGCTGTGGTTTCATGAAACCATGAGCCTATGAGATCTGCTTATCCAGTTGCATGGCTTGAATGGTATTGTTTAGTTGTTTTTTCTCCTTTAATACTATTGTTTTGTTCAGAAAGACATTGTATGCATAGAATACATGTGCTGTGAGTTACAAATGAGTAGCATCCTTCTGCATCTGGCAACCTTAAGC